AGCTTAAAACTCAGTGTCTCCCGTCGATTTAATTAACTAACTAAACCATCAGAGTTAAAAGTCCACGATCTATTAGTGAGACTACTCTCGAGTAGCTTTCACCCGACTCAGCTACACGGAAGACATCTCTCTGATTAATAATAACATTTTTATACGCACATTACATACATCATACATCATATAATGTCTCACATCAAACCACTCAATTACGTAGTATTAATAATATATATAGAACTAAAAGAAAACAATAAGTCATGTGAAACAGACGAAAAAGCACTCGATAAAACCGGTGTTCCTTGAACCGTTATGTTTTAAAACGCAAACAATTATTTTCCATACATATAATCTGAGCCTAGTCTGTTTTTTATCATTTGAAGAAAAGAGAAAGGGACTTAACAGTCTTCTTTATGCACATAGACGAAAAATATGTTACAACTGTCAATAATGTTTACACAGTGAAAATAGAATTACGTTAACTCTATGTTTACACGTATTAGGAATTCCTGGCACTCACGCGATCAATCTTATTATAATTTCCATCAATTTTTTTCTTTATACCAACGCAACAATATTTTTCCTTATGCATTTAAATAATTAGATTTTTAAACAACAAAAAAAGGAATAAAAATACATGGGATTGCGCAATTATAAGTAAATATGTTCTTCGATGCAAATCGATAGTACATTGGCACACGCATTTACTAATTATTCAGATTTTATTTGATACTTTACTGCTAACTATTATTAATATTCATATTACATATTATGTATAGGTTTTATTTCAACACGTTATTTCAACTGAGAAATTATTTAATGTTGCTATTTGATTTTATAAATTAATTAATTAATTTACTTTTGCTAATCATTAAAACAACACTTTACTTCGACAGATAAAAAATTTATAAATTTTGTTGTTAATTAGGTTATTAGTCATTAGTTATTACATTACGAAGCCTTAGAACCGCGAGAATCGACTAAGCTATTTCAGCCTACTTTCCACACCAACTTTAAAATATTCCACGTTTCAAATCAACTAATAACCACCTGTTTATGGGACTGTTTATACGACATAAATATATATAAAATGAAATAAAATAAACCATAATGTGATTGCTGGTTGCTTTATTTCTCTCTAATCGGCAGTGAAGTTACATATATTTTCTCTGAATTGAAATTTAAATTGCAATCAGACGGTTATTTTATATAGTTATTATTTTTATCTTGCAATACATTATTTTTATTTTATCGAGAATTTAATGTTCTTTTAAATTATTTTTTATATATTTATGACTAATCTTTTTGATTTTTACTTGTAATAATAATTGTGTCTAAATGATAAAAAATAGGAAAAAATTTATAAGGACTTTTTTTGTAAAAAATTGAATTTTCTACAAAAAAAGTTTCTTATGATTTTTTATAACACTAAAGTTAGCCGACGTTTTTAATTTTTTGATTTTTTTTTAATTATTAAATTAGAACTAAAAAATATTTTTAAAAAATTGCGCTTACAGTTTTTCAAGTTTTTTACAAGTGAAAATTTTTTTTTATTATTTTTTAATCATTTTTTTAATAAAAAAAAATTCTAGAAATTCTTAATTTTCATTGATTTTTTCACATTTTTAATATTTTAGTACCAATTTTAATTTTGAAATTTTTTAATTTTTTTGATTTCGATTTTTAACTAAAATTTTGTCTGAATAATAAGAGATAAAAAAAAATTTAAAAGGTCCTTTTTTATAGAGCGTTAAATTTTTTATAAAAAATTTTTCTTATGATTTTTTCATATTTTTAATATTTTACTAAAAATTTTTATTTCAAGGTCTGAAAAAATATAAAAATAATTATTACAATTCAAACTCCTTTCAAGAAATATAAAAAACAATAAATAGAAATAGAAATAATAATAAAGACAATTTAAAAATTTAATTATAGAATTTATAGAGACAAAAAATCAGATAAAATAATATCTAGTAGTGTTTTGAAACATGATATGTTGCTATTCAGCTGGAAACGGACAGAATCTGATCAATAAGTAAAGTAAAGTAACATAAGTGTACCACACGGAATTACGTGTTTATTTATTTTTCATTAAAAGAAATCCCACGTACGCATTGATAAATTTTCTACCTACTAAATTACTGGGGATTACTTCAAAATTATACGCAATTCAACTCTCTCGATAATTGAACTAATTATTTTACATTTCCTATATTTACTTTGTGGAAAAATCAATCTTTGTATTTTCATACTATTTCCTCGACTTTGTTTGCCTCGATACTCAATCTAACAATCTACCAATTAATCATACGCAACATGCGCATATCAATTTAAAAATGAAATTTTAATTCTCAGTTGCGCGTGCTTGACACCTATCAATTATTTTAATTAACACTCACTTACTCTTTATCAACTTTATATTTTCATTTGCTGAGTTGACACCTTCACATTTAAGTATATTATAAGATATAGCTAATAATATTCGTTAAATTATATTCATTAATTAAATTGCTATTCATTTTCTATTTACTGTATTATATAAATATACTAAGAATTTCATTCATAATATTTTATATTTTTTTATACTTTTTAATAACTTAATTTTTAAAAAATTTTTTCAAAGTTAAATCTAAATTATTTTTACATTTTTTTCATTCAATTAAAAAAAAAAAAATTAAATTAAATGTACAGAAATTTCTTTTCTAATTCTCACAAAAATTTTTTAGAAGAAATCTCGAGTTGTAATTTTTATATATTAAATAAGTACATATTTAACTGAACAATTTTCAGTATAACAAATTTTTAAATTATCAAATAACTATTATTATTTATATTACATCTTGTACTACAGTACTTTCATTGAGTTTTTTTTTAAACTTTTCTTCACAAGACTTTCCACCCAGAGCTTCAACTAAAAACTGCAATTATAATTATAAATTATTATTTTTTTACATTTCCTGACTTTTAAAAAATCATTACGTGCATTTATTGTCACAGTTTAGATTATTGTGGTAAAATTCAATTATGTCTAGGTTGGACATTTATTGAAAGTTGCTAACTACTGCGGCTGTTCTATTTTACAACACTCTAACAGACATTTCTTAGATTCTTAAAATTTTTTATTAAAAAAAAGTTAATGCTCTAAATTGATTAAAAAATCGATTTAAACTTGGAAGGAATATTAATTTAGAAAAATGAAAAAAAAAAAAAAACCTAAAATATTTTTCATTGAAAAATTTATATTTTGAAAATTTGGAGATATTTAGTTTGAATTAATTCAAGAAATTTAAGAACAGAATTTACAAAATTTTTAGTATTTTAAATTAAAGAAATTAAAAATCAAAAAAATTAAATCTACACGAAAAAGTGGATAATTGATTTTAATAATAGGAATTACTAATTTATATTCAAGAAAAGAACACTAAATTATTAAATTTTCAATTTTTTATAAAGATTTGTCAAACATTATTTGACTCCGTCTCGCTGATTTCTATCACTTAATAGTGTATTATTACAATCATAATTTTACTTTCAGTACATCAAAACTTTAAATTAATAAAAATTACCTATAATCATTAATTATTAATTAAAATTAATCCAAGGAAAATGATAATAAATTTTCTATGAATCAATATATTAATTTTTAAATTTAAAAATTCTTCATTTCACAACAAAAATATCCAACAATTTTTTTAATAAAGTAATACAAAGTTGCTAGATATTTTTTTTCGGATAAATTCACTAAAAACTCTAAATTCTACAAAATTTTTGATCAAACACTGATAAAAAGTACTTGATTAAAAAAAAATATTATCTTCAAAATTTAACTTTTGCTTTGAAATACCCAGTTTGAATTAATTCAAAAAATTCACTCAAAAATCAAAAAAATAAAACATAGAGGATAAACAGAAAATTCAACATTCACTAATTGTAAAATTACCAATTCAATCAACCACTTTACTATTTTCAAACAACATCACCTATATACTTCACCCCACAATTTCTTCGATGAGGATTACGATACTCGGTAACGTCAGTTCAAAATATTACCGACTTATTTTAATCTTCCAATTTCTCTTATTTTCTAAATCATCATAAATTAAGCTTTCAAGACAGATCCAATTAAAAAATTTATTTTTTTTTTCTTTCAGTTTCTTGAACCAAGATTATAAAATCCTCAAAAGAAACAGAAATGATTATAAATTTTGGAAAGTAGTATTTTCGGACATCGAAATTGATTGCATCTGACAAATATAATATCCTCTCGATCTTCCGCTTTAAATTAAAATTTCTTTCCTTAAGTAAACAAGTTTAAAGATTCGAAATTCCTTCCTCAAGATTTAGCATAATACTCTAGTAATTCATTTCACTAAAAAGATTCGATAAGTCGATAAGGATTAAATTTATTCGATGAAGAAATAATATCGAAAAATAAAAATAATTATGTCACTGAGTAATAGGATTTGCATAAGTATATCCTAAACCTTGAGGTCAATAGTACGTGAAAATACAGAGCGGAGCGTAAGTGAGAGTGTGGAGTAAATAGTTAGGGTGTGTCTTGTCTTGATGATGTCAATAACAAATAGAGTGCAGTAAAGTTAATAGACAGTACACTCTCTTTCTCATCTGACGCATATATAATAAATCCTCCTTACGAATGAAACTAAGCCCACGTGTCTCGTCCCTAGTGTGTGTGTGTGTGTGTGTGTGTGATATGAGCACGTACGCCAGATATACATACAAATAGTGAAAGAACAAACACACGCAAGCCACCCCTGCCACCTATAATATCACACTACATCCTACTCAATGCGAAACGATGCAATTTCTTCCAGGTAGATCGGCAAATTGCGGCAACTGGGGGTTCAAATATATAACGTTTGGAAATTGTTGGACGCTCAGTTACAGAGTTTCATCCAAGACATTACAACTCATAGTCTGCTTGAAATTTTTTGTTTTGTTTGTTTGTTTGTTTTTTTTTTTTGACAATCTAGTCTACGACAATGGCGATTTGTCGTCAGATTTTATTTTTTGTTATTGCGGTAGTTTTTTACAAAAGCGGGAGTGCCAGTGGATATAGCAAGGCCTGGAGTGGCGGAAATCATTTTGGACGAGCTCCGATTCTCGAGAGATTTTCGTGGCAAGTCTTAGATTGGGCGTACCCAGATCCGATCACAAGGGCTGCGGCAATTCAAAGTGGAGATTATATGCCGGAAAATGGACTGCCTGTGGGAATTGAAATTTGGAAAAATAAATTATTTGTTACTGTTCCGAGATGGAAGGATGGTTTGTTTATTTTTTTTTTTTTTTAATTTAGAGCGAATTTAGTCATTTTGTGATTTTCACCCCGATAGAATGATTTAGAAAAAAAATTATTGATGTAATGTAATCCGAGGATCAAGGATCATGAAATAAGTCAATGTTTTCTACAGACGACGGAGAAAGCAGTAATAAACTCCGGAACGTTGCGCTAAAATAAAAATTTAGTATTGACTTATTTCATGATCCTTGAACCTCGGATTACATTACATCAATTTATTTCAGTGTCAGGATCGTAATAACCTTTTAAAAAAAAATTATTGGAGGAAAAAAATTAATGGAAATTTTTTTTTCAAACAATAAGGGACATTTGTAAATTATCGACGGAAAAATTTTTCTTATATTTTTAAAACTCAAGGACAAGAAAATACCCTTTTTTGATTGATTTAATTGGAAATAATTTTTACTGTATTAGTAGAGAATACACTATTTTAAGGAAAATTTGTACATAAAATGCATTGAATTAGATGAAAATTTAGATCGAATTGGTGATTTTATGAATAAACTCCTATTTACTTATCAAATATTTAACAATGTTGATGATTTTTATTACTTTTTACTGTAATAAAAATGTTTAATGAAAGATATTGCTAAATATATTTGTGAAAAATAATAATTAAGAAAAATTGATGGAATTTTAGTTATAATTTTTGATGAGAGAATTTGAGTACTCGCGGGTGATATAACGCCTGTCGGGTAATAAACCCTAGTTAACAGATATTTATAACTAAAATAAAACTATCCATCAATTTAGATGTTAATTATTATTTAAGGACATTTTATAAAAAATATTAACAACAAAATGGTTATTTTTACAGTAAATAAAAACAATATTAAAGATTTGAAGTGTAGTAGGGGGGTGATATAGCCGAAGGGTTTAACATAATTATAATTACTTAAATAATTAAACTGTAGTTCATACACTTTTGGCATTTGAGATGAATAACAATATTAATTGTCGAAATAATACTCGGATTATTGATCTTAAATACTAAAAATGTTTAAATTATGGTGCAAACTATTCAATTATGTTAAAGTAGCTCTTTTATTATCCGACTGTACTGGAAAAAGCTCTAATTGTTACAATTTTTTAAAATGTTTAATTTAATTTCTGTTTATAGTAAAATTTACCGTTTTTAGTTGACGTTTCAAAGAAAAAGTAGTTTAATAATAATTAACATATAAATTTATTGATTGCATTTAATATTGTTCATTTTATCACAAATTTCTTTCAAATAGACTTTCTTACCCATTACTTCTAATTAATTAAGAAGTCTCCAAATCTCGTTAATATTCTTACCTCGTTTTAAAAAATCTAATCTATCAACAATTTTTCAATAATATTTCGATTAAATTCTTATATAACTTACTACAATGTTCCTAAAAATTTTTCTTACAACTGATTTTACAACAATCTAGAATCTGCGATTCCCATCCAAAAATTTGTTTGAAAAATTTATTCCGTAAATTTGCAATATACAATTTTTAAAAATGTTCAATTTTATTTTCGTCTCCAGTAAAAGTTACAATTTTTTGTTAATTAAAAAAAAAGTACTTTAATAATAATTAACATAAAAAATTATTGATTACATTAAATATTTTTTAATTCTATCACCAATATCCTTCAGCTAAAGTTTTATTACCGCGTACCTTAGTATAAAAAAAATTTGATCACTAAAGAGAAAAAAAAAATAGTAAAAATTTCGACCATTGACCCTCGTGAGACCGGAGAAAAAAATCTGTACTTGCAATCGCTGAAAGAAATGTTTTTTAGAATTAGGAAAAAAAAAGTTATTTTGGGTAAAACGGAAATGGACCGAGACATTTGGCTGTACTTGTTGTGCGCTTTAACGTCTTGTGGTATACGTGATGTACTTAGAGGTTTTTAAAAGTATAAGAGAAGTCTCTTGAATCTCGTCTGGCCGACTTCCGGTTTTTATGACAACAAAAAATATCACTAAATTCGTGGTGTTATGTGTTATGTGTTATGCGTATGAATGCACTGAATTTGCCAATTCGTTTTTGAATACCGTTTTTTATTGTACTCACTGCTATTATTGTAAAAGCATTTTATTTTTTCGAAATTTATGCTCCACAATATTTTATTCCCTTTGATAATTTAAATTTATTAAAAAAACTTTATACGAGTAAAAATTTTTTGTATTGGCAATATAAATTGTCAGATTAAATAAGAGTTTATATTTTTAAAATATTCCCCGAGGTAATTTAAATATTTTAGTTAAAATGAATGATAAAAATAAAGAAAAAAAAAGTGGGATATAATTTTTAAAAAAATCTAAATAATAATATGATTGACGTACGTAAAAAAATATCAATTTAAACCGAAAATAGTTTTAAAATTAATAAACACACCTGCAGTATAATGCTGTTAATACCTAAATCCGACCTTACAACTGTTGCACCGCGATGATCCGGTAAAAAACGAGGGGATAAAAATTTTAAATAAAATAAGTTGGTTGCGATTACGCGAAAACATACTTAACTCATTTAATGTCTCCGCCCTTAGAGTTTTTAGTTTTTACTCTAAAACGAATTGCCGGAGATTATTTTCAGAAGATACTTACAATAAAACAGGAACACAAATACCGCCAGCGATTTTTAATAATAAAATGAACCATAATATAACCAGAATAGGATCTTTTTTATGCCGCGCGCAGGGTTTTACTGAAATTATTTAACCAGCGTGGGCCGAAAAAATTACCTCACGGGTGTAAATTAAGTTATCATACTGAATTTATGTGCACACTCGGATAATATAATATAATACTTTGATATTTTTATTTAAAAACACCTCCAGCTCCACCGGAATAATGAATATGCTTTATTATTATACTTTTAATATTTTCGGGGTTCGCAGCCTTTCACTTTAAATTGTATCACCATTATTGTTGTTATTATTATTATTATCTACTTATTCATGCAATATTATTTCATATACAGATAAGAAACGGGATTCTAAACAAGATCAACAAATCACAATTTTGTAACTGATAAAATTCATTTTTTATGTCTGGTTCCAGTATAAGGATATAAGCTATGAATTCGAATGCGGAACGGATAGACTTGTTTTATTCGTTTTCATGATTCAAGAATACTTTATTAGTATTCTCGAACTAGTCAGAAAAGCTCACTTATAAAAATTGGCAACTAATTATGATTAACACATAAAGTAGAAGTGAAAATGAAAGTTGTTTAATTATAGATTGTTTCTATTTAAGGTACTAGAAGTAATGCTCGCGTGAAAATTCGTTATGAAGATTTGATTCTAAATGTAAAATAAAATATCTAAAATACGGAAAAATTATCAGAGATATTTTATATAGAAAATTTCATTGTATTAATAAAGTTGTCTTGATTAAAAAAAAAAAATTTTTTTTAATAAAAAAATCAATTAAATTTTATTTAAGCCAAGGGAATTTTTTTTTTAATAATTTCTGCTTGATTCAAGAAAATAAAATTCGAAATTAATTTTTTCGTTCGATATTTTTTCTCTTGAATTAAATTTATTTTTTTTAACAGTGTAAAAATTTTACTGTGAATTTTTTTTACGTAATTTTTATGACTTAATTTTTGGGGCGTTTCCACAAAACTAAATGAGCGAAAAAATTATAATGACTTTATGTAAAGTTATATCGTCCTATTTCGCAATAATCTTACATACTCTTCCATAATACCATACAATAATTACAATAATTATTAATTTGTTTTCATTTACCTAAAGCGGAAAAAGGAGATCACATTGCATTCTTAATCATCATAAGGAAATCCAATTAAACTCAACATAATTATAAAGATTGTAATCACACAATAATTAGTATAATTGTGATCTTTCTTTCTTAAAATATCTGTGGAACTAGTAGTTGGTAGATCGTAAATCTTAATTCATAGAAATGTTATTATGTTATGTTATAACTTATAATGTACATGAATACTGCTGAAGTAAATCCTTCATGAAAAATTCATAGAATAAAAGCAAACTGCATCAAATACAAATTCACTTTATTCAACGACCGATAAATTCGCTTGAACGAGTTATATACAGTAGTAAGTCGTATGTCGTATGACAGAGAATTTCCATTAAATTTAAATCATCATTAGTAGTAATTGAAATTTATCTATTATTTTTTTCCGTATTAACAGATATCTTTATTTTTATATAATTGCTCCAGTTTACGGGTAATTTCATTTTTAATAAATCTATTATATAATAATCGCCAGCGTAGACGATAATTGCGGCTTTTATTAAGCAATTAATCATTTTATTTAATTATATTACTATTAATTCAGGATTACGATCTGTATATATTAAACAATTAGTTAAAGATTGTTATCCGGGTCTATGTAGACATTACTTTTTATGCGCGATAAAAAATGATGTTTTTATACATAGAGTTAATAATAATTATTATGATAAATAATAATAAAATGTGCCGCAGGAATTCCAGCAACCTTGAATTACATATCGCTGGACACAAACCGCGGTGGTTCACCAAAATTAACGCCGTATCCAAACTGGGCTCAGAATGTTGCTGGGGACTGTGATAATGGTCTAACTACCGCGTACAGGTAATTTTTTTTTTAATTTATCAAAATTTTAGACTTTATCTATACATAAAAAAAAATTAACTTGAATGAAGAGAAAAATTTTTGAACCAAGAATAATTTTCTTAGGCTACATGAATTTTGCTCTTAGAATCAAGTTAATTTTTTTTCAGTATACTCAAATCAAGAAAATGAAGTTCTTCAAAATTATTTACTTGATTCAAGTTAATTTTTTTTTTTACTAAAAAAAAATGTGTATATGTACTTTTGATACCCTTAAAAAAAATAAAATTAAATTAAAAAAAAATTAATTTTATACAGAAGAAAAAATTAATTTGAATCAAGACGAAAAATTCTTGAATCAAATAGCATTTACTTAAACCAAAAAAAATTTCTTAGTTTAAAAATTTTTTTACTCAAATCAAGAAGATCAAGTTCTTCAAAATTATTTACTTGATTCAAGTTAATTTTTTTTTCCTAAAAAAATGTGTATATGTATTTTTGATACCCTTAAAAAAAATAAAATTAAATTAAAAAAAAATTAATTTTATACAGAAAAAAAAAATTAATTTGAATCAAGTAAATTTTTTTTTCTGTGTAAATTTACACAAAATTTTTTACTACCACAGAATTCACGCAGATGAGTGTGACCGTCTCTGGGTCCTAGATACCGGCACAATCGGTATCGGAAACACAACCGTACAAGCATGCCCTTACACACTAAATGTATTTGATTTGAAGACCGATAAAGTGCTCCGAAAATATCGATTACGACCCGATGATATTAATCAGGTAAAATATCCACATTTATTTCTCAAGCTATAAATTTCTGTAAAAAAAAAAAAAAATTTATACCCTATAGTATACTAGCATTATCTCCGTAAGTATCTCTTTGAAAACACGACAGAGAAAATAATTGCAATAAAATTAGTTTTTTATAGTTGTTATGTCTTACTTATATAATTAATAAACTTTTATTACTCTCCTTCCAAGAACACATTTATAGCGAACATCGCAGTGGACTTGGGGAAAGGCGGGTGCGACGACGCGTTTGCTTACATGTCAGACGAACTGGGATACGGATTAATAATTTACTCATGGGAAAACAATACGTCTTGGAGAGCTACTCACAGTTACTTTATGCCAGATCCTCTCAAGGGCGACTACACCATTGACGGTCTGAACTTCCAATGGGGTGAAGAGGGAATATTCGGTATGAGCTTGTCCCCGTTGATGGCAGACGGCTACAGAACTTTGTTCTTCCATCCTCTGAGCAGCGACAGGGAGTTCGCAGTATCCACCAGAATTCTACGTGATCCAGTTCTTGCCTTAGATAGTTATCACGAATTCCAGGTACCCAAAAAAAAAAAAATATTTCTAATGATAATGATAATGACTATTGGCTGTCCGATCACCAATTCTGATCGGGATAGGTGATCGACGATCGATTGCGTTAAAATAAAAAAAACTTACCCGCCAGTATATTGACTCGTATTTTAGGCATTGCCAGAAAGATTCATGGGCCACTCAACTTCGGAAGTGATGGACGAGAACGGACTCCAGTTATTCAATCTGGTCGATCAGAATGCCGTAGGCTGCTGGAATTCGTTATTGCCTTATTCACCGGCTAACCATGCACTGATCGCCCGACACGATGAGGCTATGATATTTCCAGCTGATGTTAAGGTACATCTATAAACATATACATATATCAAAAATCTAAATCTCTTTTATTATACTATAACCCGTCATATTAAAAATACATTTATTAGGCTAAGTGGTCCAGTTACTGGTTTCTGCCCTTTTTTTTTTTTTTTTAATCAATATTCAAAATAATCGTTGTTATCCGTCGGGCTTACTTTACATCCTATTAGATTCAATATCTTCAAGATCTATTCTTTAAAACTTTTTCATTCCTGAGAAAGTTATGTTTTTGGTAAAAAAAATTCTGCATTAAATTTTAATAATGTATCACAATCTCCTTGGTAACTAATTAAATTTAATAGCGAAAACGTGCTATTAAATTCTAATAAAATTTTTTTTCGATTATGCATTCGTTAAAGTGAAAGAATTTATGCAATACTAATAAAGAAAAAATTTTTTTAAAAATAGATTCGACGTGGAATGGTGTGGATAATATCCGACAAAATGCCGCAATTTTTGATAACATCTTTGAACTACACTGAAGTAAACTTCCGAATACTGACGATGCCATTAGCCGACGCAATTGCCGGGACTGTTTGCGACAATGCACCATGGAAATTTGTGGACAATAACGCACTTTGGTGGGGTCGATAATAAATAATTAAATAGATAATTTTGTAAAGATTTGATATTTACAGGGGCATTTATCAAAAATGAGCCTGAATCTAAATAGCTAATTTGAATGAATTTTAATGAAAGAATAAAAACAAATCATCACATGCTTCATGTAAATTTTGTAATAAGTATTAAATGTAAGAGTAATAAATAAAGGAAAAGGATAAATGTATGTTTGGGGTTCAATAAATTTGTACTTTGTATATAAAGTGAGCGGTAGTTCAGGGAACTTAAACATCTTATTCAATATCACCGCGATTGAATATATATAAGCGAGAACCAGGCAAGTTACATTTTCATTCAGACTCAATATATCTCTTTCTTCTCTGTTTATACTCGTTGAATATTGACACGCGGGACCACTCGTCTGACGTTACGTGGTAAAGAATAAAGTGCACCAGTTGCATCGTCCCCCTTGGATATCTAAATACAATTGGTCGTTTACAACTCGTAGGTATTGAGAGTGTATATCTGGATCCTCTTTTGCAAACTCACCAGCAAACTTTAAACGCCGAGGATATTTTTTACGGATAACAGCCGAAATATATTTATAAATGTTTTTTTTTTTTTTTTTTTTTATATTTTCTTCTTATTTACTTTGCTAGTTTGCTTTATTCATCTCAATGTAGTTAACACCGTGCCCAGGTGCGTTAAAATAAGTAAAAAAATAGGACCGAGATTTGCCGACCAAGTTAACAATCGGTTCATCAATAATTCAAGACTAAATTTTGGCAAAGACGGGCTTTTAGCTTGTGAATTTTTTTGTCAAACCCTTACCTATGCTAGCCTTGGTACTAGCGCTGGCACAGACTAGAAATTTTGCAAAAGACAGACGATTGAGGTCACTGAACGCCAAAAAATCTTGCATGATGGGGTAATTTTCTAAATTTTAAGAAAAAAACGGCAACAGACCAGCTAGAATTTCGAATTATTCGTGGTCGCTCCAGGCGCTTATAATGAACATATATCCATCCTAATCTACGTCGTTTAGCACAAGCTTGGGGAAAAAAATATCTGAAACAAAAAAAAAACGGGTGCTGAATGTGAATCACCCCCCAGGAGCCAGATGGCCATCACAGCTCGCTCTTCAAAGCCCCAAACCGATATAATTTTACGTTACCTGGTAATCGGATCCTGATATACGACTTTCTTTCGCACCTCAAAAATTATCTGGATCACGCCCACGCTTCACAATAAAATATGGCCACGTGCTTCGTGGTTCTTCCTGAAATTAAATAAATTAAAAATTAGAAACGTTATTCATTTTTTTTTGAATAGTTTTTAGGATAAAAATTAAATAGTGTAGAGGGAAAAATAAAATAAGCCAAAAAAATGATTTAGAAATAAGCTACGGAGGATTTTATTATTTTAGGAGTTTGAGAATAATGAGCCAGATCGAAAAGAAGATTCACGCCTCAAATGCTAATTTAGTTTGTATCGATGCGATCGAAATCCTGGATTTTTTTTTTAGAAGTACCGATTTTTTTAGATTTTATTTTTTATTAGGCATTATGTATCATAAAAAAATGTATATTTTTTAATGAAAATTATTTCTCGCAATTTTTTAGTGTTAATATATAAGAAATATACTATTGGGTAGATTTATATAATACTTTTTATAGCGAAAAAAATTACAGCTTAGACTGAAGTGAACAGAAAACTGAAGGTAAGAAGTAGACAAAAAAATAATGTATTAATCTTTGAAATTTTCGGTGAAGTCTACACTTCAGCGTACGTCTGAGGCTGGGGCGTAAAAATAATAAGTTTTAAAAAAAAGTAATGTATGATTACTGCAAAGTCAGTAGGAAAGAAAACAATAGAAAGGTGTTAAAAGTGGAGTTGTTGGCTGTTTTTAAAAGTACTGACGGATTATTACAAAGAAAAAAACCGCGGCCCTCCTGATTACACAGTGTACCAAATACTAAAGCTGACGATGGACGATGGACGAGTTGTACGCCCGAATATATGTATATATGAAATAATAATACTAAAATATTTGTATGCCTTCGGCGTTTGTTACTTTTATCTATATATTTAACTTTATTTTAATTTAACGTTTACACTCTTTTGCTCCAGGGATATATGTGTATTTTAGCACTTTGTCTGAGACTATATATTATTACTTTCACGTGAAAAATGTAATTGATGGTTTCAAGTCTACTCTTTGTTTTATTATTGTTATTGTTCTCTTACTTCTCGAAAAAAGGACTTATTATTTCAACCATTACTGTATTTTTGTAAACAAACAGTTTCACTTTTTTAGCTCTATTTGTCGCAAGGTTTTAATTATTTTTAGTGAATTTTCCATTTTTTTTTATTAATAAATGGTTATTAAAGTATGAAACTAATTTTTTTTTGCGCATTTAGTGTGTATCCATAAAATTGAAATATTAAGTAAATTTCAGACGAACAATTTACAAAATTAATTAAAATTTTTTTAAAATAGAATACAATACGTCAAATTTTTGCAATAATTAAACAAAATATTTCAAAAATGATGAGCCAATCATCATTTAACATTTTCAGACTTTCAAATCAATTATTAACTTTATGACTATTTTTAAAAATTTTTTGCTATTTTTAATGTTTTTCCACGATTTATTCAAAGTTGAAAGGTGTACCAGCCAAACCAATTTTATATTTGTACTCAGCGCAACAAAATTCAGAAGAAAAATACTTGATCTCTATCGATCTACCATTTGAACAAACTGCAGATTTGGATCCAGCGCATCGAAATAATACTTACATGGAAAAAAAATTTCTGGGAAAATTTACGATAAACCTATTGTAAAACTAGACTGTACTTTCATTATTAATAATTATCAAATATTTTAGAATAAAATTTACTATTTATTTACCAAATTTTACAACTTACTATCATAATTTCCCCAAACAGTTAATCTATTAAATTCGATTTGAAAAAATACGATATTACTATCGTAAATAGTAAGAATAAAAATTAAAATTTTAAAATATTATTATTCTTGTATATTCATTTTTAAAATTTCCAATGCTGCCTCTGTATTTTTGCAATAGAAGTAACAAATTTTACAATAGTTGAATTGGAATTTTTTTCATGTAGTGTGTCAGAGAGACAACTGTACTCCGAATTACTCAACTCCCCTCTATACCAAGCTTGCTCAAATTTAAATGCGTCACCAATCACTTTGCGTCGTTTAGCATCATATGGTACTTACTGATTGGTCAACTTCTTTCTTACCAACACTTGCTCCTTTATCTGCTCAGCGTTAAGTCGGTATGGAATACAGTTATCTTGTTTATCTTGCAACTGAATGAGCCCTGATAGCCAAACCGGTCGCAACTTTACGTTGATTTGCTGCAGCAACCCTGATAGCCACCTTACCTATAACTTACTGTCAATCTACGTCCGCAATTTGAAGCAAACTTGACGGAAAGAGTTGGCAAAGCGAGCGATTACCTATTAGTTACCTATAACTTACTCTCCAAATAGACGTCAAAACTTGCTGTACAAGTATTTCCGTCAAATTGTAGTAAAGTTGAAAGGAAATTTAACTACAAGTTTGATTGCTAACTTGTATTCAAGTTGCGGCCGTAGATTTCCGTCAACTTACTTACAACTGTTGTTGAGTGAAGAATTACCGCCAACTTGATGTATAAATTAACCGTAACTGCTGGAAGTCAACGCTTACTGAGAAAGCGCTGGCTATCAGGGAACTTGTCACCAAGTTGGCGGCAAGTCTTGGAAATGAACTCGGTTGTTCACCAAGTTGTCGGCAGAAATTGCTTTCGAAACTCTTTCGCACCAAGTTGACGACAAGTTTCTCGAGAAATTTGGTGACATATTGCGGCAGTAGATTGGTCTTGTTTTTCTCAGAAACTTGACGCCAACAGTTTCAAATTCGGAAGTTGACCGCAAGTTGTCGGTAAGTTGGTGGCAACTATCTGTCACCAACTTGGTTGGTCTGAAACTGTAGCTATCAGGGAGGTTACCCATCAATTAGCACGGGTTGACGATCAACTAAGTTGATGTTCAATGGTTGACGTCAACTTTACGTTAACTTCGCGTCAACCTCTGCATTTGCAACAGTTTCCCATAACTTGACTTTAACTTACGCATCAAGTTAACGTAAATCTACTGCCGGAATTTTTCGAAAGGTTCGCTTAAAGTTAACGCAAAGTTGCAGAATATTTTTTTAAAATTCGCACTTGTAATGTTCTTTAATTTCTAGCAGTGGAATTTTTCTATTAAAATAAATTACATTTTCTGAAACTTTTTATTATTATTGTATATTTTTAATTTATTAATATTGTGTTGGAGAACGTATTAGAAATGTACTTAGAACCGGTGTAGCGGAAATTTTTCGCAAGCGATCAACAGTAACCTTCACAGACGAGAACACAAACTCCAGGATTACGTCTCTTCAACACATGTTGAATACTTCTCGCATCACATTAGAGACCTTCCTCTCCTGTGTCATCTACAGACACCAAAGCAATTTAATCTCACTGGCTGTTGCAAATGAAACGTCCAACGCATGGTGATCAATTGCCATGGATTTCCTCAAGTCGATTGAGAGGGTCACTGTCACCGATGGACTTCAGAGATTTACCAGTGGAAACTCCTGACACTGCGTTGGAAAACACGATGATGTTTCGTTGAATCTTCAAAAGTAATCTTTGTTCAACCAACGTAGTCTGTTTTTTTTTTTATATTTTTCAAAGGATTTTACTCGTCTCTGTTTTCTCTTACGATTTTTGTCATTTTTATTTGACATCTAAAAAAAAAAATATCAAAGAGTCAATCTAAATTATTAATAGAATCAGAAAAATTTCGACGTATTAGATACGACGTATTAGAATGGCAGTATCGATAAGCTGTCCGGCACCGACTTATTATGCGCATTTGGCCGCCGCCAGAGCTCGTACTCTGATAAGAGGGTAAGTCTATGAACCAGTAAAAATATGCAGCTGTCATAAATTTAATTTATTTATATATTTAATTTTGTTTTCAGAATTTCTATCCATGCAAACAATTTAAACGAAAACCAGACGTCGAAAATATTACTGACAATGATTTTAATCAAATCTGAAATGATAAATATATTATATAATGCGATATCATCATTATCTTATATCATAAAATTTAATTTTACAACACATACTTTTAATCGCTTCACTTAGGAGCCAATAGACTCCAAGAGGTCTTTTAATAATATTTGTTTATGTTGCAGATGACCAAAACAGTTTAAATCTGGGATCCAGATCGGCAGAGTAATTGTTTTATTTTAGTTTCTATCACTAAAATAAAAACAATAGACATTTTTTTATCTCGGAAAGAAGAAGAAAATCAAGAAATATGTTCTAAAATATGGAACGCGGTGTTTCGTGTTGCACAGCTAAGCAGGGCGGTTCCACTTAACCGTTTATTTTTTCAGCAGCCGAAATTCTAAACTTTTAATTTATGTTATGGTATGGAACTCTATACTGGAATGTTCCAGTCGACAGTAGTCGGTTGGAAACCGTACTTGAATATTGATGGTAGGTCGTAATTCACAATTTCAATTTACGTCAACAATACCACACTAGGACTCTAGCAATCGTTACTTTTTTTCTTTTCGTTATTCAATCTAAGGTACTATTCTTAACGCGATTTATTGTTATAGAAAGTATTCATTTTAATTTTAATAAATTTTTTTACAGTTGGTTACAAAGCCTTTCCAAAATCTATTAATGTATATGAGGTGATTAAGGATTGATGTACTGATCATAATGGACATCTCCATTATGAGAGTGGATTCTCATGACAATTTTATATAGGGATGTATGATCTAAATTTTAAAAATATTTGAATATTTCACATTTTGAAATGATTGAAAGATTTTAGATAGAAATTAAAAAAAATTAAATCCAAGCAAAACTTAATTATAATTGTTCATCCATATCATTGATAATAATTTTAATTAAAAATAATTTAACCCTTGAACGTATTCTAAAAAAATTGATATCAGAAATATGTTTAAATAACAAAAGTGGAATTAAAGTAGAAATATTATTGCTAATAAGTACAAATATAAAATTTATTATAAAGCTCTTTTATTCTATATACATTTTCAAAAAAAAATTTTAACATACTATAAATAAGTAATACAAATTTGCGGGAATAATTTAAAATCATAAAATATTCTAATTATACATTACTCAATTATAATAAATTTTAATTACATTTAATTCTAATTGTAGAAAAGTAAAAAATTAATTTTTTTATGAAATTATTTACATAAATTAATTGAAGATACAAAATTATGTATACTACATTAATTTTTTTTTTTTTTTAGTCATTGTGGTAGTTACCAGGTTGTACAGTTATAAAATCAAAATTTTCGCCTTTAATATAAATAACTTTACGAAGAACATTTTCTAAAGATGTTATAACAACTTTAATTTCTTTTGCTTCAACTTTCCATACGTGAGTCATTACAATACCGTTTATATTCAATTGCTGGACATCTATTATTTCAATAGTTATTAAATTTTCATTTTCACTCGAAAATATTTCTAGAATTCGAGCAAATTTACCAGATTTCAGTTGTATATAACTATCATCCCACTTATTAGTTTTATCATAAAACATTGTACTATATATATTCTTATTATAAACACATTTATCATAATATTTTTTATCTGAAGTATGATTTAATTTTACACTGTCAGATTCATTATAAAGAACACCATTGTGTATAGTTCCTATCAATGGTTCTTTACAATCAGAAAAAAGATTTTTACAGTAAATACTTACTTTTTCATTAGTAATTCTATTATTATCGTGGAATACTGATTTAAATTTGATAGCATTTATTGATTTTTCAATTATTTGAAGATCAACACCTTCGGCATCATTTACAAGCATTTTTAAAAAATGAATACTGCCTTCATGAAGATATGTATAATTGGCCCATAATGGGCCACTTTTACGTACTGAATCAACTGCATGTAACAGTAAATGGACGTTAAGCTTCATTTTCGATTCCCCAAAAATTTTTTGAAAACTATCTACAAATATTATCAACATTTCTTCACACTCGTTCAATTCATCTTCAGATATTTCGTGCTGTGATAAAGTGAACAAACCTTTTGATAACAGTGCAAGAAGATACATTATATCATCACTAAATATATCGAACCCGATAGGTATACTATAAAATAATAATAAAGCATTAAAATCCTTGGCTTCAAAATTGTTGAAATCAGTGAACGCTTTTGGAAAAATCCCAACTGTGCAAGGTGGTTTAATAGTATTTACTAATTCATCTAGTCTTAATGTTTCTTCTTTGTTTAAGCCTTTTAGTATCAATTCCCACAAAAATTTTGTTACACCTAAATCCCAAGTATTCATACTGTCAAACGGAAAACTCCAAACCATGTCAAAATTCGGCAGAGATAATAATTCTGATGGTCCTTCTACTCCGCGACATTCCACTTTTGGCTTCTTCTTATTACACTTTGCAACATCTTTAATATGTGAATCATGCGTTCTTAATTCTTCAATTGTTGCAGTGAATGGGAAATGTTTTGCTCCATCAGATGTTTCTCCCATTATATAACAATAGCTGCAAGCAAAGTATTCACTATGCTTCACTCTGTTTTGACATAACGCTTGAGTAACTGAGTCTGCAGAAAAATTAGAAACTGCAACGTTGATTTTCTCTTGATTACTTTCGGTATTATTGTCAGCTAAATTGAACCCTTTACTGTTTAAATTTTCAATTTGTTTAACAAAACTTTCCATGAACAAATTCATTAATTCTGGAGTAGGCTCATGGGTTACTATCATAAATCCTGCAATAATCACATTGTTAAATCTTAATCTAGGCGGTAGATTGTTAACCAGTATTTGTAAAGGCCACATGCTCCTTTTTGATTCTCTAAATATTGGTGTTCCATTAGTGCTAACATTTAAATATATGGTTTTTTCATTGTTATTTGCAAACTTTACAAATAATTCTGAATCCGTTATGTCTGTAATTTTAGAGTTGTTACTATATTCATTATTGAAACTTTCACTGATTGCCGAATAAATGTTTTTTGATTTTAAAAGTTCTTTCAATTGATACTCAACATTAATTGATAAAAAATAATTTTCATTGAGAGAATTTAATCGAATAATTTCTACACATTGATCACAAATCACTTCCGTATCTTTCATTGATTTCTTTGGCGATATATAAATTATCTTTGTACATTTTGCGCAATAATAATGAGCTATTATTGTTTCTTCAGGAATCTCAAATATTTTATTATATTGATGATCAGATATTGAGACATCATTATATTGAGATCCCGCGCATAATTTGAACATTTCCATTAATTGTGTTCTCCCGTTATTACATAAACCGAATCTCAACGTAAAACCAGTTATCATTGTTATAACATCATTAATACTCGTTTCAGATTCTTTGAACATGATCCGATCATAACCGTTCGAAGATTGTTTCAGAAAATCGGTATGTTCTTTTGGTTGGAACGTATTGTTTTTGATTTCCGTAGTAATTGTTTGAGTGTCAATTGACGTATCTTGATTATGCCGATGAAGATTCGTTTCTTCGCAGTTGCTAGACGAATTACTTCGATTCTCGGGTTCCACCCCACTGACGTTTTCTACACCAGCGACATTGGTGCTTATAGAATGTTTTCCGTCGACAATTGAGGACTTCATTGAATTCGTAACATCAAAAATATTCAATGGTCCGCTTGTATTATCTACAACAGAATTGTGAAAGTTTTGTTATTGAGTTTTACTAAAATAAAATATTTTACATTTTTTCATAAAAAAAAATATTATTTGAAATTATATTTGACGGAATTTTAGACTACAACTTTATCTAATTTTTAACAAAAATGTTTTCGGTACATAGCCAAGTTATTATTATTTGTGCTATTCTTTCAAGGACAAAAATTTATTTATCACTTTATACTTATATACTTACGTTTTTGTCTGTATTCATCAACTGCTCTTGGAAATGAAGTAGTCCTTTTACTCCGTCGTTTCTTTGTAGTTTCTAAGTAAAGTTTGTAACGCTTTGGTGGTGTCTCTGCCATTTTCAATACCTATAAATGATGGAATCTGCATTAAATTTTATTCACAAATTCAAAATTTATTATTTTCATTTCATTGTCAAGTAAATAAGTTAAAAAACATTAAAAATAGAAACAAAGCTAAGATTATGAGAAGTTGCTCATTACACTTGATATGGTCTGTAGAAATATTTATTTCAAGGATTTGATCGTATGTACAAAACTGTGATCGTCTTGGATAAAAAAAAAAAATGAAGGCTTACAGATTTTTGATAATAACTAAAGATAAAGGACTCAAGTCGTTTTAAAAGAAAATTCTTAAACAGGAAGACATTCACAAAACAAGAAGTCATTACTTCAAAAACAGAATATTCGTTATTTACAATTATGCTAACATGTCAAAATATTGTCCAGAATTAATTTACAAAATTTTATCAAATTATGTTTCTACAAATTATAAACTCAGAAAACATATTTATTAAAAAATTAAACTAATTTGGTGTTTAAAGAAAAATTTTATTTCTAATTGATATCGTTTGTTAATATTTTCATTGTTCAAATATATTATTTGAATGAAAGATATTTCCTTTTTTCATAAAAAAATATCCCTGAATAAAAAAAAGTATTGAGACAAAGAAAAAAGTATTGAATTGACTAGAAAAACTATACTTTTCAATACTTTTTTCTTTGTTTCAATACTTTTTTTTTTTATCAGGGATTACTCCAATTTTTAAAATAAATATTTCAACTATTCGGATTATGAAATACCATTCCAATTTTGATTATAATTAATTAAATTATTAGTTTCATTATAATTACTCCTATAATCGTAATCATAAGCATTACCGGAATTTTAAAATATTATTTTGAATTTGAAATAGTAAAGTTTTGATATAAATAATTATTCAGTGAAATTAATAGTTTATCATTAAAAAATATATTTAATTTATTAGAACCAACATTGCCAAAATTGTTGCACGCGTACCGAATCCAACACACTATAGCTTCCTCTGTCACTCAACTGATTAGCAAAAATAACTTTTTTATTATTTTTACACGATAATTATCGTAATTTAAAAAGAAAAATTTATAAATGTACCAATCTTTAAATAGTGTGATTTTAATTTTACTATGAGACAAAAAAAATCGTACTATTTATGTTGCAATAGACAAACATGTGGTTCATAACCTTTAAATGGCAACGTTTACGTGAAATTACTTTCACTTTTTCAAAATAGAAATTGATTGTGTACTTACGTGCTTAATATTTGTTTCAAATAATAATATTCACTGTTACAATCAAAACTGTCTATATAATTTGACCATGTGTTATACAGCCAAATAAAAAAAAATAATCTTCTCGTAGTGCTCAGTAGCATTTCACACGGCACCGATACAGTTCAACTAAAAACTTCTGTACTCCGGCTATGGAGGGTACCTCTACCCTCCATAACTCCGACCAAAGAATTACAGCTGTACGCAGAGACACCTATACTCAAATACAACTGTACACCAATCGTTCGACGCGTTTATTCAATGACAAGACAACTGACAGCTTTACTCCATTACTCGCGCGAGATAATTCAAATTCTCGATAGAAAAGAAATGAAAAATAAACGTTGTGTTGGTAAAGAAAATTTAGATCCTGATATTGAGTGCTATTTTTAGTCCTGACAAAAAGAAATTAAAATTTATATAAGGTGCTATAAAATTTTGTAGATACTTTATTAATGTTATTTAATTGATGAACACAGAACAAATACAATAATTACTTTGGCAATGTCTTTCAATACATCTAGAGTATCATGTTTATCTAATTTAAATCGGTTTCTTAATTAAACCAGTAAGCTAATTATTATTAAACTTGATGAAGTATTTAAGCTTTAAAAAAATACTAAACTAATACTAGCAAAATTTTTATTTCAACTTTTGTTTTAAATAAAATTCTACTTTAAAAATATAATTCTGATGTAAAAATTTTTAAGATTGATGAACACGATGTCAAAACTACGTTAAAACTGAATCAAGTATTTGAAATTGAGGTGTTAAAAATTTATTTTATTTTAAATGTTATTTAAAAAATTATAATTTACCTTGAATTTAATCATGACGTTCCTTTATCTCTGCTCCAGTGAAAAGGGGATAGGAGTAAAATTTTATAAAATAATAACTGTGACCTAATTTTCAATTGGTTTTTTTTTTATTTTTTTATAAAACATGCAAACTTTTATAAAAATAGTAAGACACAAACAGTGAGTAGAAATTTTAAGTTTAATTAAGTTTAACTCAGTGCATATTGAGTATACACCAAATACACTCCAACTTTACACTGAATTTACACGGTGTATATGCGCAAAATATACACGGAGTTTACACCGAGTATACACTAAAAAATTTTTTCAAGTCCTCAGAACAAAAGTTGTGAAAAAAATTTTTTTTGAAAAAAATTGAAATTAAAAAAAATCAAATTTTGAAAAAAAATTAATAATTTTGAAAAAAATTAAATTTTTCAGGAAAATTGAAAAAAAACACACATACATACATACATACAGACACCATCATAAAAACCGTCGGGGAAGCTTCCTAGGACCTCAAAACGTCTAGATCTGATTAAAACTCGATTTTCGAAAAACGGATTAAAACGAATAATTTCCCGATTAACAAATATTTTCGATTTTCTCAGCGGAAGTTAATAAAAAATAAAATTTTGCAAATAAACTCGAGTAATATAATTTTTTTTTTATTTAATGAAAAAAAATTCACTCAGTGGGGACTAAATCAACTGAAAATCATTCACCTCGCATTCACTCCGCAAATTTTTAAGTTTTTCTCCAAATAATATATATTGAAGTGTTTCTGAAGTTCTATTCTTAATTTTTAAAGATTAAGAAATTTTTGCATGCTAAAATATAACATTAGTTAACGACGCGGCACCTCTATTAATTTATGTTAATAGGGTAAAGTACCCAGTACTTGAACAATTTTAAAAATGGCCCTCGTACTTGAACAGTTTGGAAATTCTTATATTATTAAAAAACTCCGGCCGTAAACATTAATATTTAATGTATATTAAGATAACTTGATGTCTTAGTTAATGATACAACAAATATTTTTTAATGTCAAAACTAAATCTTATATTTTATTTAATATCTAATAACGGGATCATTGAAAGTGTCGATTAGTATCCATTTTTGAATGAAAATGGTACCACAACAATAGAAAAATGGCGAAATAACCCAAAATATTTGAGAATTCATCAAAAAAACTTAACCAATCAAAAATATAGATCATTTTGCAAAATATTCTGTTGTGAGGACATTTTAATTGTAATAAGTGCCAAAAAACTGCTCATCCTTTTTTCTATGAAGGAATGATAGTTATTTTGTGCGTAAAATCGTTTTTATCAATCCATAATTTAACTAGGGATACTGTATACGTCAGTACGTTATGCCCATACAATACACTCCATGATTGCGTGGGCTAGATTTATTTCATTGAAATCTGTTGGAACCATGTAGTATATACGATATACCATAATCCATATGGAATCTGAGTCGAAGTGAGTTATAGAATGTTGGGAAATATTTACTATCCAGTTACCAGCATATATCATACTTAATAAACTAAATAATTATCCTTCCACAGCACACACACTACACAGCAAATATTTATCCGCCCTATAATCATTTCGCCACGATCTCTGCCATTCACGTATTCATAACCGTATTAAACTAATTAATTTTCCTTTGTTCAGCATTTCAATGCTTCTATTTTCTTCTGGGTTTTGATGGATTTACATTGTTTAGATATCCAATTAAATTATTTTTGGAAAAATTTTAAATGTTTTAAAACAAAACTACTCGATTTGAGAAAAATACTGACTTATTTTTATTGTTAATTTTTTCATCTAATTTTATCATCTTTATAAATTATTTGCATTAATTATATTACATAATAATATTTCTTTTAAATCTATTTTTTTTTAAGTGAATAAAAAAGTCCTCGATAACGACCGAGTATATCAAAAGGGCTTTTTGCGAGTTTCGTTTAAATTTAGACGGCAAAGAGAGACGTAAAATATTATCACTGATAATGACACACAAAGGGCGCGGTTGACAATTATAATAGCTCGGAGCTACAATATTACTATGGAGGTTAATGTTTTAGTTTAGTTGTGTAATGCTACTTATGAGTATACCCACACATATAAGTTCCACGTGTTTTTAATTGGTTTATGGCCACACCCGTGAGCGTGGCTGGCGGTTACCAACGTTATCCATAATCCCACGTAACTTTCCCTACGCTCGCTTCGATGCGTTTATTTTATGTACTCTGTTAAATATTTATTTTTTACTATTTTTGGATCTCGGGAGTTTTTATTGCGACCGTAAATATCACTATCGAACGCGCGAGCTTTATTAAAATACTTAAATTTACGTGATTTATATTAAGGGAGTATCGGTTTTATTAATTAATTTAATTTTAACGAGGTAATTTGAAATTTAATTAATAATGCAAATTTTAATAATTTTGCTTTTATAAATTTTTCATAGGTTTAAATTGAAATTTTTGTGGTGAAAAAAATGAAAAATTTTTATTCAAGAGGATAATTGAAAGCGATTGACTATAAAATTGAAGCGTTGAAGCTCAAGTCCGTGGAGTATAATTCAAAATGTTGGAAAAAAGTGTCGGGAGTAATTATCATCAGTAAATACAGAAGAACCTGCTCTACTCTGATTATACTTCTCTGTGAAACTGTAAAGTAAGTCTCGTGAGCCCTTGTCCTAGTCTACGGCCAACGGCAAACAAACTTTCTCTGTGTACTATGCACCCTCTTCATTTTATTATAATCAGGGTCTACATTCTATAATTTTATCTCTTTTAATTTTTTACTCAGTAGGAAAGTCATTTTAATATCTTAGTTTTTGAATTAATCTGACTAAATTTACACTGGATTATTTTATGAATTACTAAGTACTTTTGGACTTTACAAAAGTTCATGTATTTTTTATTAAATTATAAAGAACACGTTGTAATTACTGAGGATTTTTTTATTTGTAATTTCTTGACCCAAGATTAAGAATAATTTTCAATCAATAATAAAAAGTTTTCAGGTCTTGAGATATAATATGTAGTAGAAGTCAGGTGAAAAGACCATAAATAAATTTCAACACAACTATTCGTTATACGACGTTTCGTCGGTTTTATTCCGACATCTTCAGGTATCTAGTTTGACAGACAAATAATACAATCAATTTATATAAAAAGTATTTTAAACACCACTGAGCCATGTTTCGGAGGTCATTTATAAGATTCCATGCTCTTGTAACAAACTATACATAGGTCAGACTAAGCAATATTTATGGAAAAGAATTTACCAGCATAAGAACAGCTGTGAATTAAGATTTAGAGAGAAAGAAAATCAGACTGCTTTAGCTTCCCATCACTTCAATACTGGTCATAGTTTTAATTTTGATGGTGTGGAGGTTTTAGATAAGGAAAGTAATTGGAAGAAAAGAAATATTAGTGAAATGATCCATATTAGCTTAAATGATACTGTGAATATGAAAACGGATACGGATAACCTGAATAGCATATATAGTAGACTAATTGAGAGTTATAAATTTAGAAGAAAGAACTAATTTGAATTCTCGCGCGTTCCACTTAGTGCGTTGTTTGACATGTAGAGAGCGCTTGGGAGTGTTTACCAGCTGTTTGATTTTTGGTTTTTAGTTGAGAATTACTCGTGACGGTAGAATGTTTAGATTATTTATTTTTGTCAATAACCTTTAAATTATTGATAGTATTATAAATTGTAAACATTTGGAGCTGTATTATTTATTATTTTTTATTTATGAATTGGATGACATTGAGAATTATGTACACATGTGTTGCTGTACTTCAGAATGTTTTTGTAATGACTAGAACTTAATTTTCGCGCGCAAGTGCGCGCCTTGACTATAGAGTTTGCATACATTTTCATGCTTTTGATATATTCGACCAATCACATCACGAATAGATTGGTTTCACATACATTTCATCTCAATTTTATTATGGGACTAGAACTAGAATTTGAATTTACGCGCGCAAGCGCGCGCTTTGACTATAGAGTTTGCATATATTTTCATGCTTATGATATATTTGACTAATCACGTTATGAATAGTTTGATGCCACATATATTTCATCTCAATTTTATATTAGGATATATTTTCATGCTTATGATATATTTGACCAATCACGTTATGAATAGTTTGATGCCACATATATTTCATCTCAATTTTATATTAGGACTAGAATTGAATTTTGCGCGCGCAAGCGCGCACCTAACTATAGGGTTTGCATATATTTTCATGCTTATGATATATTCGACCAATCACGTTACGAATAGTTTGATGCCACATACATTTCATCTCAATTTTATTATGGGACTAGAATTTAATTTTCGCGCGCAAGCGCGCGCGTCATATTCATTGTCATGATATATTTATGTGTCGTTTATGTATATTATATTCACTTTCAACCAATCAGAATGAGAATATTTATTTTCGACCAATCACATCACGAATAAATTGGTTTCACATACATTTCATCTCAATTTTATTATGGGATTTTATATTAGGATTAGGATCACATATCATGTTTTACAAAACTGTATCTTCTGTCTTAATTTAATTATTTACATTTGCATATGCATTAATTTTGATTGAATTTTTAACATATTTGTACTCTTTTCTTTTACCTTTTGTCACACTTCATCCCTCACATATCACAGTCGCATTACAATACTATTTATATTGTTTCATACTTATATTAACTTAGTATCTATACTTATTTATCAATGGCAGACTTTTTCTGACATTCTACATTGTAACACTCATTCTCTTTAAACAGTATTTCAATCTCGCCAACATATATACACAGCTCTCTATTTATGTCCCCTTTTAACATTGCAATTAATTTTTCCCTTGTTAATTTATTTTTAATAATAATAATAATTTTTTATTTCTAGGTAACTAAAAAAAATGTCAGATTTTGGACCAATAACTTTAAAATGGGACCCGAAGAATTTAGAAATCCGTACTATGTCGGTAGAAAAAACCCTGGAGCCTCTAGTTCTCCAGGTAACGACACTAGTAAACACGAAGGGGCCGAGTAAGAAGAAAAAAGGCAAGTCGAAACGTGCTAGCGCATTGGTGGGAACTGTGGAGAAAGCAACAGCTAATTTTATCGAACGTGGTGAGCAAATCGCTTATGAAAACCCAGATATCACCGCAGAAATGCTGTGTGCCGTCGAAGAGGTTCGCAAGACGGGAGCTGCCATGAGTATCGCGGCCAGAGAATTTTCCGAGGACCCTTGCTCCTCATTGAAACGCGGCAACATGGTAAGAGCTGCGCGAAATTTGCTGTCAGCTGTCACGCGTCTTCTGATACTCGCGGACATGGTAGACGTCCATTTGCTGCTCAAGTCGCTGCATGTCGTGGAGGACGACTTGAGAAAGCTGGAGAACGCTTCCTCGCAGCAGGAGTTGCTGGAGAACATAAAGCAGTTTGGACGAAACGCGTCTGAGCTGATGAACCAGGCAGCCAAGAGACAACAAGAACTCAAGGATCCGCAGCTCCGCGATGACCTGGCTGCCGCGCGAGCTGTTCTCAAGAAACACTCTACTATGCTGCTGACCGCCTCCAAGGTCTACGTTCGCCATCCAGAGCTAGCTGCTGCGAAAGCTAACCGCGACTATGTGCTAAAACAAGTTTGCGAGGCTGTCAATACTATTAATGATGTCGCACAAGGAAAAATGCCTCTTGACAGTCAACATCCTTACGATGGACCCGGTGAACTCGCTGCTGCCCTGGATGACTTCGATGAACGCATGGTCATGTCGCCGCTTGCTTACAATGAAGTACGCACTAGACCTAGTCTTGAGGAGCGACTTGAAAGTATTATTAGTGGTGCGGCTCTCATGGCAGACTCGTCTTGCACTCGTGACGAGAGACGCGAAAGGATTGTAGCTGAGTGCAATGCTGTCAGACAGGCTCTGCAAGATTTACTCAGTGAATATATGAATAATGTAAGTATTTTTAATTATTATTATTTATAGGAGTACCTAAATATTTTTTAAAAATGTGTAGTTTTTCTTCTGATTTTCTTTACTGAGAAATTTCATTAAGGAAGTCCTTTCGCTCCAGTTGAGTCGCAATAACTGTAGTAGTCAATATTTGATAAATTAAAATAAAAAATTCCTAAAATTAAAAGATAAATAGTAAGGTAAAAGACCCAGTTATTGACACTGGCCTTTAAAGTTGTAATTATTAATAATTATAACATCTATAAAATATTTTTTTAAATCTAGTTTTCATCGGACGATCACATTTTAGGTCCCAAAAAAGTTTATATTTTTGATTATTTTGATAAAAAAAGAATACACACGAATTTAACAAAATTTCGAGCTTTTGTTTCTGAGAAATGTATTGCTTGAAAAATTTACGATATAAAGAAGTTCTATTGTAATCGATTGTTTCCTCAGAGATTTTCAAGATAAGGATTTTTTAAATTGATTTGTTTTCATTGTATAGTTTTATACTGAGAGTTTTTTAAAATAAAGATTTCTCCTGAGGGATTATAAAATGTAGAGATGCTCCCCATTCTTTTATCTTATATATAAGGCATGAATCGTTGAAATTTTGAAAATTAAAAAAAAATAGTTAAATACAAAAATTAATTTGACTCTTGTAAATCACCTGTTAGTACAGGTGCACAATATAACCTTAACCATGTTTAAGTTTTTGCAGTTAGTGTAAATAAATAAATTAATTAAAAATGATTAGTCACAAAACCATAACGTTCTAATGTCTCATGGCAAGAATGCTAGTATTTTTTAATTGTTGTTTTATTTTTTAATTATAAAATATGAAAATTTGTTAACAATAAATTAACTAATAAGTATGTATGAAAAACATAAGTGCGTTAGAGTTTAGTTTGAATTTATTGAATGTTCTGAAGCTCGCGCGCTACGCAACGTTGCCAAATATTCTGACGTCATTTAAATGTATTGGGATCCGTGGGAGAGGCGTGACTTAATTTTTGGCCGTCTGGTGGTTAAAAAATAAACTAGCGATTGTAGGATTCTGGATATAGCTGATGCTTGTAAATAAATGTGTAGATAGGATATAAAATTAAATTAAAAATTGCGTGTGACCAAAATTTAATTAAAAATGCGTGTAAACTTACAAGAAATTTGTAAATTTACTTCAGCTACAGCTGCTAGTAAGAATTTTATTGATGGAGAAAATATTATTGATTGCGGTCATTTATTGAATTGTGGGAAAGTGAATCATAGTGATGACAGTGATGTTTATCATATCCTTGCTTTTTGCTTACAAACAGCTGGTTTAAGAAATTAACCTCATGAAATAAATGCTCAATTCTCAAAGAACGGAAAAATAATTGGTATGGAATACTCTTGCAAGGCTGGATTGGGAAGTACTTGCAAACATATTGTGGTAGTACTTTTATTTTGTAACCGGTAATTATGACTTTATCTTTCTTTCTTGTTAATCAATAAACTCTAAAATTATTAAATATTTATTAAATTATTGATTCTATTATTCTGTACTTACAGAAATAACTTTGAAGATTTCAAAGATATAACGTGTACAGATAAGAAATGTGCCTGAAATGCACCTTATAAATCAGCTC